ACCCATATTGCTACCACCTTGTTTTCCTCCTTTAATAAAAACTAATAAGCATAACAATTTAAACACCATCTATGGATCTATCTACTGGATGAACTCAAGAAAAAGATCTAAACTTGTAATTTTAGGTAAATAAAAGTGAGGATAAATGAATGAAAACAAAGTTCAATGGCACAAAACTAAATCATGAATTTTACATTCCTTTTTCAAAATCAATCAAACACGATACAAATACATATATAGTTATTTACAAACAATATCAAACAATCCCCACATGCTAGTTTTTCTTCTTTTTTAAAAAAAAAAAATTGGTAGCTGCAGGAATAAAGCACACATCAAGATTGAAAATATAGTGAGATCCGCACAAAGTCATGCAAAAAGGAACATAAACTGAAGAAATTAGAAGCTTTGTTCATGGATTACAAGGTTGTTGAGCGGAACATCCCTCTGCAAAAGCAACATCAATTGAAGATCTCACAAATTTTACCCAAAAGAGGAGTAATATTTAGGTGAAAATTCAAAAGGAAATTAACTGGATTGGCACTAAAAACAAATCCAAAGGTAAGAAATCCAGAACGAAAAATATTAACTTGCACGAAATATATTTTAAGAGAAATATCAACTCGTACAAAACCAAATTCCGATATCAGGATGGGAAATTTTTTCTTAAAAAGAAGGACACCCATTAACCAAATGATTATTTCAGCCTAATTGGAACCCCAATTGACGAAGAAAGACAAGAAAAGTGAAATCCCTTAGAATCATTGAGGTTAACTTCATTGCTAAGCGACTTAGTTACTCAAAAGCCAAGACCCAAAATGAAAAAAACCTCAGTAAAACCAGAAATCAAATCAATCATCACAATAATAATAACAGCCTCATAGTTAAAAAATTTGTGTTTTATGTTAAAATTATCATTTAATTAATCTTTAAATGAAAAAAATAATAACAGCCTCATGAAGAAGAAATTGATGAGAAGAAAACCCAACAGAAAAAAGGGAGAATAAAAGACCCAAAAGGAGGTCGACCACCTCTTATTTGGTCTCTTGGGTTGTCTTTTCCTTGCAATTCAACCCTCCTGCAATATACGGTTACAGAGATTCTGATGCCGAGGAAGGGGGAGGAGAGAGACTCGGGAGGGTGGGGGCAGAATGAATGAATAAGATGGGACAAACTTGTAATTTCATGGGTTAAGGGGGGTGTTTGGTTAGGGAAATATACCCCTAAAATTTCCCAAACTTTTTTTTACTAAATTGTTTACAATTTTTATATGTTAATATTACCAAAAAAAAAAGTTAAAGTGACATTTTAAATATTATTTTTTATATAATTCTTAATTTATAAAGTTTTTTATTTATTTTAAAAATAAATTTCTCTATAACTTTTTGTATATTGAGATTATTTAATAACTTTTTATATTAATTTTTTTATCAAAATTTTTTAACAAATATAATAAAATTAATAACACAATAAAATTTTAACAATATTTCAATAAAAACATAACAATTTTTATACAATATTTTTCTAATTTTTTTTCAATAAAAATCTTCTTAATTAATTAGCCTCCAATCAGATAGAGCTAGGAGTTTAAGTTTTTAAGGTTTATATTTTAACAATGCAACGAGGCAACGAGATGTAAAAAGTTGATGACGTGTTGCATGACATAGTGATTTTAAACAGAGTTATAACGTGCACGTGAGATATTTCTGTTAATTTAGTGATAATTTCTCAATTACGTATAGTTTAGGGGTTTAAAGTTACATACTTATAGTTCAAGGAAAACCAGCTTCAAATTTAGGAAGTTGAAGGGCAAATAAGTAATATTTGCCAATTATTAGAAAGGTTCTGAGAAATTTCAGCTCAGAAAGTATTCCACAAGAATCCAGATTGTATTTACCAAATTTATTTATGAGACGTAATATGATTGGGAAATGTGAGATTCCAGGAAGTTTATATGCCTTCTTGTAATTCAATTTGACTTATGACTTTGTTGACACTTGTTAATTACTTGTCAAAATACTACATCCACCTGCCCTCACTTGTTTAATCTCAAACAACAAAGAATGGTTCAATATGTCGTAAATTTCCGTAGCTATCTATGGAGGACGGAGCAGAGTAATAAGCAAAGTCATCATCACATTGATTGAAGGTGATGTGTAACTGATCAATGCGATGAATGGTTTTATTGGTCATTTGGTCCTAATGTCAAAAGGACTTACGTTAGGGTACGTACACTAAAAGGTTTTTTTTATTGTTTTTTTTTAAATAAAATAAAAATAATATTTTAATTTAATACGAAATATATTAGAATTTCGTTCTAAAACGCCAGTTTGGCAATTGGTCTGGTCGGACATGACTACCATGCTCCTGGCCGGGGGCCACGATTGTGGGGTTACTTGTCCCATATTGGTTTTAGGAGTGTACGTTTGGTTGAATATATAGAATTTCACATTATTTTAAATTGGTTAATTTTAAAATTATGATGTGTTCTCTCTCTTTTAAAAAAGAAAAGACCGTCATTTTTTTTTTTTTCACCTTTTAAAGGGCTTCAGAATTGAATCGCTTTACATGCTATTAAGTGGTGCAATTATATTTCATAAAGGAGGGCTGTTAGATCGAATGATTCAATTACGAGTGGGTCGAAAATTTTGAAATTGAAAAAAAAAAATTGAAAACTAATAAAATCATAAATGATTGTAGGATTTAATTGAATTTTGAGTTTGTTTGATTAAAAACTAAATTGGATTAATTTTGAATGGTTTGAATTTTGATTGTTAAGTTTAAAAATTGAAAAACTGATTATTAAGGTGAATATAACTAAAAAATCTACTAAAAAACTTTTTATATAAATTTTTTAATAGTTTCTAATTTTTTTAAAAAAAATTTTAGTAACTTTTCATCAAGTTATTTATTTATTTGGATAATTTTTAGTTTTTTCAATGTTTGAAATTAATAAAATAATAATTTAAAAATTCAAAAAAATCACTAAAATATAAAAATAATTTTTTGGTTAAAACCAAAGCCAATTTTATTGGTTACTTTTAAAAGCGTAATCGAAACCAACAAAACTTGTCTTTTTAGTTTAAATAATGGTTTCTAAAATTTAAAATCTAATATTTCAATTAATTGATAATTTGGTTTTAATTACGATCAACACTAAACC